TTGTAACTATCACCACAGCAATTTGCTAAACCAACAGGGCTATAGAGCTCAGCAATTGTCAAATTATAACAAGATAACAGAGATGAAATAGGAAAGATCTAACAAATCAAACAAAACATATAAAAAACAAATACAAGATCAGGAAAGGTATCTGGTATTAAAGAACTGGGATGATCCCTGGTGAAGTTGAATAAAAAAGGTACATATATGTTTTAGGTTAATACTTTGGCAGCTTTGGATTGGAGGAAAAATGCATATGTACAAACACGGTAATAAAATTCTGCATGAACCCCAAAAAATAAAACTTTTCAATTGCACAGAATCAAAGCACTTTATACACAAACACAAAACATTAATACTTTTAACCTACTGACCCACTTTGAAAACTTAGCATGGCAATCCAGTCCACCCATTGAGGCAAGAGAGGAACCTTACAGGTCAGCGAAACAAGCTTCCCACAACACTTCTAAACATTGACCAGGCACAAATTTCCTTTATTTCAGAGCCCATTAAACTCAAAACTACATTTTTATGGAGTTGAAGAGGGTTAAAGGATGATGGGTGCTTCTTTAAAAATCCAGGGAACCGGACCAGAACACAGAAAGGATCAAGTAACATTGTGACAGTCAACTCCGAGACTCCCCTTGCAGGCCAAGCATTGCGTCCCTCCCCTCTTTGAAATCTGGGAGAACAAACCGGATCATCACACCGCAGGTCAGGTAGAATGATGGTTTCAAGGACCCATAAGGACTAGGGAAACTGGTTTCAGTGGTTCCCAACAGGCAGAAAAACTGGGGGAAAAAGTGTCACAGGGACCACTACTTTTTGGGATACCTGATGAAGAAACAATTGCAGGCCAAGAGACCATACTGCTGGTCTAATAACCCCTGGGCTGCATTTCCACTTGGACTCTCCAACTTCCAAATAAATCTGATTCTTCAAAACAGGCCTTTGCTTTTAAGACGGCAATAATCTGAAGTAGTTTACAAAAAGCAACATTTTGGTGTACAACCCTCTAAAACCACACCTGACCTCTGATTCAGCAATTGCACATCTGGGTGTGAAGATAAAGCTCACTGACCTTCAGCTTACAGTCATGTATGGCAAAATTCTGAAATCTAAATTGGAAACTACATTTTTAATAAAAAATCCGTTTTAATATACAACCATACTTGTCCTTAATAGTACAGTAACCCCTCAGTTAAAAAGACCGAATTGGTTACTCAATTCAAAGTGAATGAATGTTCAGCCCCCCCCCCCCAAAAAAAAACAGTATTATACTAGAATTATTCATGCTTTCAGTATCTCGATAATGGCAATCAAAGTTGTTCCTGTGCCTTTTCATCATAAAAATATCACACATCATAAATATATTGACTAAACATTGATATTCCTGAATTATAGTAGTACTTACTTCTACCATGCTTTTTTTTGTGCATTTCCCATTATTGCAGGAAAAGTTTGGTATTTCTGATCTTACACACAACCCCTTTAGCAGATTTGCTCAAATTGAAGTCTGTTAAACCAAGGGTTTACTGTACTTCAGGTCTGTGCACAGTTAGCAAACATTAAATACATTCTTCATCCCCATATGCTAAAATTACAATATCTTTACACCATAACTTGTTTTGGTGCAGTGCATTGTGGATGAAGGACACAGAACGCTGGAAATGTTCCATCACTGATTAACAAGCAATCAACTTTACAAGTTACTTGTTCAAATACTACTGTACTATGTGTATCTTTAGAATAGAGCTGTCTGCTATGTCTACAGTCATAAGCTTCAAATGGCTGGATACATAAGTGCTGACTGACAATTTAAATTTAGTTGAGACAACGCCTCAACCTTCTCCTCTACAGAAATATAAAGCACATTCAGATTTACATATCCACAGTAAATAAATGTAATTAAGTGCTACTGTAA